ATACTCCTCAAAACATTAGATTCATCCGCGCTGGAGCCGTGCCGGAGCAACCCACGCAAGCTAGATAATTCCGCTAACAGCTGCAATTGCAGGTTTTCAAACAGAGATGGCGACAAAGAGGCAAAACTTACGGACTGCAGCTTTAATTAATTTTACAAAAAAACTATATATATATATGGAAATTCGTTTTACTGTACATTTTGTAAGATACATTTACTTGAGAAGCAAAATGACAAGAAGGTTTTGCTCATTTACTCAGAAAACACAACTTCATACCTTCATTTTGTATCTCAAATAAATGTATCTTGATTTAAGGATGTTTAGATATTTAAAAAAAAAACAAAAAAACAAGACAAAAATACAGAGAAAAATATTCATTTTTGTAGTGAACGCAACATTTAATGCCATGACTTTCTTCTCATATTTAAGAGCTCCAATTGTGGAAGGGCGTCTTTTTAAGACCTGCAGAAACCCTGATTACATTATATTATTGCAATAAAATAATCTTTAAATAACATTTGTAATATATAAATAAAACAAGTCTTAATGAAAAACTCTTATGTTTAAGTCTTTTAAACATCTCTCATCTTTTAAAAATTAATCATCAACATACTTATGAAATACAATAAGGGATAATGGATCATCAGTTAGAGTCATTACAACAAAAATCCTAATAGGGTGATGAGGAACATAATGTACTCAGCAGAAACAGCAGAAGGACTGACAGAACACATAAAGCCCCTGCCACCTGCCTTGTCTGCTGTTCCCTACATAACACAGAAACATGATGGGGAAAAAACTGTAAGAAGACAAATGAGAGCAAATACATCCATGTCCCTCACTATGTGATAGTAGTATCTCACCGGTGCCCGACTCCACCGGGTCACTCCAGAGATCTGAAGCACTGCAGACATCAGCAATAGTGCTCCGCACTTGGAAAACATAGGGCTTGTTCTGTGAGACCTGAGACTGTATGATGTTCCTGTCACGTTTGAGGACTGGGAGCAAAAGAAAGATAAAGATGAGACAGTTGGCAGTTTGAATGCAAAACGATCATAATATGATATCTCTGGTCTCACCTGTTTTGTGTCTTTCTGGTTGCGCACCATATAGACTACACAGTTTTTTGGGAGGGGGGATCTGCTGTTCCACTGCAGTGAAAGTGTGCCGTCCTGCTTATTCCACACCACTGAGAGGTTATAGGGTGGGTTTAGCTGCACTAAACAAATATATGTACAAACACAAACAAATGATCCACTGGTTTAGAAGGAATTAATCATCAACATACTTATGAAATACAATAAGGGATAATGGATCATCAGTTAGAGTCATTACAACAAAAATCCTAATAGGGTGATGAGGAACATAATGTACTCAATTATTACATGGTTATTTACCAAATAAATAATTAAGTGGACATAAAATATTGATTTGAGTTTAAATTATTTCATTACGCAAGAAGAAAGAGACTGTGGAGTGATAGAAGACATCTAGAACTATTGTAGCACAGCTGAAATCTGTTCCCTGGAATAATGGCTTGTTGGTCATATGAAAAATATTTGGCAAAAGAGTGCTATGACTAACCGATAATCAAAAATATAAAGGGAGAACTAAATTAATAAAATGAATGATTCAACTGGAAGGGTGAAGAAATTATGTAAATTATTAAACTACACTACTATTCAAAAGTTTATGTTTGGTAAGAGTTTGGTAAAGTCTTTAAAAGAAGTCTCTCATGCACACCAGGGCTTCATTTATTTGATCGGAAATACAGGAAAACAATTTTATTATGAAATACTACATTTAAAAGAACCGTTCTCTATTTTAATATATTTTAAAATGTAATTTATTTCTGTGATGCAAAATCTTCAGTGTCACATGATCCTTCAGTAATCATTCTAATACGCTGATTTGCTGCTCAAGAAACATTAATTATTATTATAGATGTTGATAAAAGTTGTGCAGCTTAAAGGGGTCATATGATGCGATTTCAATTTTTCCTTTCTCTTTGGAGTGTTACAAGCTCTTGGTACATAAAAAAGATCTGTAAAGTTGCAAAGACTAAAGGCTCAAATACAAAGAGATATTCTTTATAAAAGTTACAAGTCAACCACGCCCAGGACCAGATTTACGCATAGGCATTCTAGGCACGTGCCTACGTGTGCTCGTCCAGGGGGGGCCCAAACACAATGAAGAGATATATAATAGAAATGATATACTATGGGATATCTACAACAGTAAAAGAACCAAAACCCCAGAAGACATCAAGCAAATAAATATAACAAACAATAGGGTAAAAATGACAAACTATTTCCATGTCTTCAACCTTTTTTATATATGGAAATCACACTTTCTTTCTCCCGTTCTCTCTCACACACGCACACACATAGACTCGCACACACGCAGAGACGTCAGCGTGCTGCGGCTGCCCCTCGAATTTATCAAAAAAAGAGTTTCGCAGCTGAAAAGCTACATGACATTTCTCAGTAGCAAGGTTCTTGAAGTGTGGCCACGTCGCCGCGCCTTTTAATGGAATGAAATGCAATTTGTTTGAATTCTCATACAAATTAAGAACCTACATTCGATTTGTATTGACTGAACGCAAGTGCTTATTGCGATAGAAAGCACTGTAACGGTTTCCACTGATTAAGAAATAGTTTTGTTTGCTTGGGTGGTAATATTAGGCCTATTATATTAATAGGGAAGGGGGCCCCAAAAATTATGTCACGAAAAGAGGTAAATCCGGCCCTGGCTTTACACCGGTCAGGGACACCATCAAGGGACATAAGTATCGCTTTTGATTCATCCTTTTTCCTACTAGTTTCACTTCTGTTTCAGTTTTTATAACCAATTCTTACTATGTGTTTCCAGATCCCTACTATCACTACCACTCGCAAACCACGTTTCACACACTATAGGCAGTGCAATCCTGACAACCTGCACACTTTGCCTATGTCTGCTAATACACTACTTTCTTTTTCTATTGGTCTCTGGAATTGCCAGTCTGCTGTAAACAAAGCAGATTTTAGAGGGAGTGTGCTGGATGTGAGGGGTCCAGAGTGATTTTGCTAGCCCTTTTGCTCACTCTGGATGAGTACAGTTCTTAACTCTTCAATTCTTAACTCTTACAGTTAAGAACTTACAGTTCTTAACTCTTAGCTCTTTAATATTTATCTTGCTGGATCTGTCCGCTGCTTTTGACACGGTTAACCACTAGATCCTCCTGTCAACCCTATTGGCAAAAGCCATCTCAGGAACTGCACTCCAGTGGTTTGAGTCTTACCTCTCAGATAGGTCCTTCAAGGTATCTTGGAGAGTTGAGGTGTCCCAGTCGCAACATCTAACTACTGGGGTACCTCAGGGCTCAGTTCTTGCACCACTTCTCTTCTCTGTCTACACGGCATCATTAGGTTCTGTCATTCAGAAACATGGCTTTTCATACCACTGCTATGCTGATGACACTCAACTCTACCTCTCATTCCATCCTGATGATCCGACGATAGCTGCTCGCATCTCAGCTTGTCTAACAGACATTTCTTGCTGGATGAAGGACCATCACCTTCAACTCAACCTTGCCAAGACAGAACTGCTTGTGGTTCCAGCAAACCCATCGTTTCATCACAATTTCACCATCCAGTTAGGCACATCAACCATAACTCCTTCAAAAACAGCCAGAAACCTTGGAGTTTTGATTGATGATCAGCTTACTTTCTCAGACCACATTGCTAAAACTGTCTGGTCCTGCAGATTTGATTCATTCAACATCAAGAAGATGTTCAAGCTCCTTGTTCAAGCTCTTGTTCTGTCCAGGTTAGACTATTGCAATGCTCTCTTGGCAGGACTTCCAGCCAGTTCTATCAAACCTTTACAATTAATCCAAAACGCGGCAGCAAGATTAATTTTTAATGAGCCAAAAAGAATGCATGTCACACCTCTGTTTATCAATTTGCACTGGCTAGTGGCTGGCTACCAATAGTTGCTCGCATTAAATTCAAGGCTTTGATGTTTGCCTACAAAACCACCACTGGCTCTGCACCCCTTTACCTAAATTCATTACTTCAGACTTATGTGCCCTCTAGAAGCTTGCGTTCTGCAAGTGAACGTTGCTTTATTGTGCCATACCAAAGAAGCACAAAATCACTTTTACGGACTTTTAAATTAAATGTTCCCTCCTGGTGGAATGACCTGCCCAACTCAATCAGAGCAGCGGAGTACTTAGCCATCTTCAAGATTCGACTAAAAACACATCTCTTCCATTTTTATTTGACCCTCTAACTCTAGCACTCTCTATTCTAATTCTATTCTTAAAAAAAAAAAAAAAAAATAACACTTGCTTTCTAATCTTTTTGTATTCTATCTGTTTTCTTTTAATTTATTATACAATTAACAAAAGCAAAAGCTGGCCAATCACAGCACACCTCGACCGATGAGCTTTGTAAAAATCGACGCGTTTCAGAAAGGCGGGGCATAGAGGAGAAAAAATAATGTACAGTATGTGGAAAATAATGTGTTTTTTGAACCTTAAACCGCATAAACACATTTCATTACACCAAATACGCAAAATAATGTTATTTTTAGCAACATCATATGACCCCTTTAAGAATAAATATCTTGATAAGCAATCCGACATTTTCATTGTCACTTCATAGAACAAAGTCATAAAGAACAAAACTAGGTATAAAATAACATTTTTATTAACAAATACTGTAATCTGAAATTTTATAATAATAATAATGTTTAATTAAAATATATTACTATTGTTAACAGCTTTTTTCCATATTTTAACACAAATAATGTGTCAAAAAAGACAGCACTGCATAATACAGCTGCACCATACCATTATTATACACTCCAGTGCATTTATCATCCGAGGTCAATTATTAGTTTGGTAAGAACCAGTTCTTCTCAAACAATCGACTCCTGAGGGTCCAGTGCAGGTTTTCTCATTAAAACAGGTTCAGCCTGTGCCCAAATTCTCATCAGTAACCATCCCGGTTCAAGAGAGAGCTCTCAAACAAGTCCAACAGCCTTATCTAAAAAGCTGGCGAAGTTCTCCGGTTGACCAGGCACATAGGTTGTCAAAGCAGACAGATCCATATCCCTCAAAGTCTGAGGCAGAGTACTGTGATGAAGGGTTAAAAGCACATAAAGATGAACATTTGAAGTCAGCACATCAATTTAACCATAACAATAAACTTGAGCACTAACACAGGTGAGAAAGTGAATGCCCATAGAGCAAACCTGCAAGTGCAGTAGATAAGATGTGAATCTGCCTGCAGCTGCTTTGCGAGCTCCAGCTGGTGATTGTCCATTAATTTATCATTGACCACAACAAGGAGAGGTTTATTTGCTCCGAGTGCTTCCAGACAGCTTCCTGCTCCTGATTAGGATAGAGCAGATATTATGACATATGGGGCAGATTGCATAAACCTCGATTTTAAGAAAAGGTCTTAAAAATTAAGACTCAAGTTTTTTTTCTTCAAGATTGTTCCTAATTTTTAAAAATCTGTTACATAAAAAGGCAGATTGGTTTACTTGGAATTCGAAAAATAACACACATTACTACCCCTTTGGTAAATGCTGGTTGGTCAAACTAGTTTTCAAGACACAGTCTTAACATAGTGGCTAAGTTTATGCAACTGCCCTATGATCTAAAACTCATTTGTAGGTTATAATAAAGTCAATGACAAACAAAATTATGTCAGATCAGTGGTTTTTAATCTTTTAGATGCCATGATGGATCCCAAATATGATCATGCGAGGGACCCTCCCATTCTAAAATTTAAAATGCATCTATATATTTTCAAGTATAAAGACCCAATTTATACTGTGAAAAATGTATATTCTAAATATGTGTAAAGTATTACTAAATATTTAGCCTCCCCCAGGAAACTATAGTACCGTACTGTTAGATGTATTATTTATTTTATTAAAAAGTATAAAAATATAAAATTTACTCAAATATTAAACATATCATGTGTCTCCATAGTACTATACCCTGCAGCCACCAACTGGTGAGAATTTTTTACAGACAATTATTGCAGATATCACACATTTTAAAGTGGAAACATGAATTTTTGATTATCTTATATTTGTCAGTATATGAACTACTGATCTGTTATCTGATGATTATTATAAAGAGTATCCTTAATTTGCCTGCATCAAAAACAATCAAATTCATTTATGTTTGAACTGTAGTGTATTTATGGAAAGCCGTTTTAACATTTAATCTATAAGCCATACTAGTATTGATTTTCATGCTACTAGTACTTATTTTTTAGATACTAGTATCTTTTCCATTAAGTACTAGTGCTTATTCATTAGCTACTAGTGCTTATTCTTTAGGTACTTGGGTCTAGGGCTGGGCGATATGGCCAAAAAAAATGATCACGATAATTTTTTTCATATCAGTCGATATCGATAATTATCACGATAAATGTCAAATCTTTATTTCTTTCAAGTTTAAAGCTAGATTTTTGCTCCAAAGTGAAAGATGTAGAAACCAGACCATTAATTTTCCTTAACAAAACAAATATCTAAATAGAAAAATTAATTTCTTAGTTTCTGCATGTTCTGATGAGTGATACTGTTTCAAATCAAGAAACAGCTTTGGGTTGCCTGATAATATTAATAATAATAATATCACTTTTTTTGTCTCTTAGAAATGCACATTTGATAGTATCTTGAGTTAGGATACAGAGGTACATTTTTGTGCACTATCAAAATCAGTAACATCTGTAGAAATTGTAGCAACCTCAGTTTTAAATGGTTACATTTATTGTGACCAAGGATTTTTTTTTTTTTTTTTTTAAATTAAGCATTGGTCTCCCATAGTAGCATACATTTAAATCATGATAAATACAGTTAAAACCACACATATAGCACCCCAATACCATGGTAAAAATATAACTATGAAAAACAGTAGCCTTCTGACTGTCTCGTTCGTTGCACACAGTGTTTCTCCTGTTTGCCATTAAACTAGTTTAAATCACCAAATCATTTGTGTTCCTCGCTGAGTTCAAGCGCTTCACACTGGATCTCACAGCACTGTTTAGTGCTCACGTGACTGAAGCAAACGCATCTGCTCTAGTGAGCTCGTCAAACATTTATCGAACTCTTCATATCGTTTTATCGCGTGAAAAGTATATCGCGATAATTATCGTTATCGAATTATCGCCCAGCCCTACTTGTGTCCTTTGTAAAGTTACTAGTACTTATTTATTAGATACTAGTACTTATTCCAATAGTGACTAGTATTTAATTATACTCTTCTTGTTAAGAAAAAATAGAACTAGTACTTATTTTTCAGTTACTGGTAACCTTTTAGACCAAAGATATCCTGAACTTAATAGATTCTAGTACTTTTTAAACGTGCATTTCTGCCCAGTATGGTAATCGTATGTTGAATATTAATAAGCCAGCAACATATAGGAAAGAGATTAGACAGGAAACAAAAACAAGGAGACGGATGTACTCTTTTTGAAGAAACCACGTAGAAAAAAACAATAATTTGTACACAAACACATAGAAAACGTATTTTTGTCAGTTTTGTAAACACTGTAATTTTGTAAACATTGTAGCCTAATGTGTTTGTTGGTCATTGTACAAGTGACCTCTGGTGGCAGGATGGAGATAAGACACCAAATTTATTATCTATTATTTTCCTTTTTCCTCCAGTAAAAACAATAAATATCATAACAGGGCTGTACGTTAACTTTTTTTGCATTTAGCACTGGTGCTACAGACATTGAATGTTTTTACATTAATGTTCTGTACAGGGCACACAAAATCCAAACCTTATGGTTTTCAGACAAACATTTATTTGGAAAAAAAAGGCCAAAAATTATTAATAATAATAATAAATAAAAAAAACAGGTTTGCTGTACTTGTAGGGCTGCACAATTTGGCCCAAAATGTTGTTTTTATCAATATAACTAATAATTATATTATGGTTATTATTTCTAAATAAAAACATTAAACAAAATAAGGAATATTACTTTTGTAATAACACTATTTCACTATAATATACAAAACTGTGTATTTAATAATAAATATAATAATAAATATAGCTGCAAAAAAAAGAAAAAATTTACACTTCTCTACATTGGAGAAAAACGTAAGGATTTGCAAACGTTTACCTCAAAGTTCTTAATTATTTTTTATATTTTTACCCAAATTAGGGTTTTGTAAGCAATAATGAGTACTCAGTTGTAATCTTCTTTTTGACTCACTGATGACGTTCCAGGAAATCCCTTATATGGACAAAGACATTCAGCTTTCGCTGTAGATGTAGCTTAGTAGCTGAATAACATGCAGATAGGCGTTTTACTGTTGTAACATTAAGAAAATAAATAATGATTGCGACAATATATGGTTTTATCTTTGTTCTTCAAGCCATCTAGGGCATTTTAATAAGAATAAAGTAGATTTAAAATGCAATGCTAATCGACATAGCCTTTATCACTGTAGAGAATAATATAAAGTGGCATGATTTCTGCCTCATTCTATTTAATGAAACCATGTCAGATCACAAAAATACGTTATTTCAAAGACTCGACTGATGTTGTGTAGTGAATTTGGACTAAACATATTATACTTTTGTTGGACAACAGGTTTTTAATCTTTCCTTGTGTTTTAGGCTAACATACAAAGCCAGTTATCCCTACTTTACATGAATATGCTGAATTAATTTGATTGTTTTGTATTACCATGTGGACTCTGATTGGACGGTGGAGAGGTACTCATGTTTATGTAATGATCTGTTTAAATGAAGACATCTCCAAATACATTCTCACTAGTTCATGAGGTTGAAGATATCTCCAAATGAACAAGGAGTGGTAGTTATTCTGTTTTTTTGATATCATCTTTTCATTTCTGACTAATAATTATTGCAATAGTGACTAGTGTCACTAGTGTTACCAGTGTAAACTAGTGTCTATTTAATAGGTACTAGTATCTAATGAATGAGTACTAGTATCTAAAAAATACATACTAGTACCTAATGAATAACTACTAGTACATAAAAATTAAGTACTAGTCACTAGTGGAATACATACTAGTCAAAACTGAATAGTTGATATCTCAGTGATGGATCCCCATGGAAGTCAATGGCAAAAACTTAAAATTTGTTACTAGTAACAATATAATAATTACTAGTCACTATTGAAATAAGTACTAGTATCTATTGAAATAAGTACTAGTATCTAATGAATAAATACTAGTATCTAATAAATAAGTACTAGTATCTAATAAATAAGTACTAGTATTTAATCAATAAGTACTAGTGTCTAATGAATAAGTACTAGTGCCTAGGGCTGCACGATTAATCGAATGCAATTGTCATGCGCATCTTGTCAATAAAGCCGGTTCTGTGATTAGTAGTAAATCTCCAGCACGTGCTTTCAGATGGAGCAGCATTTACTACACAGAGCCGTAGTTCACTGACAAGCTACGCAAAATCGCGTTCATAATCGCAGACGATTTAATCGCGTGATTATAAAATAGAAGAAATCATTCTGCGATTATGAAAGCTGTTTGCGTAGCTTGTCAGCGAACTACGGCTCTGTGTAGTAAATGCTGCTCCATCTGAAAGCAGGAGAAAATACCACATTTAATAACATGTTTTGACTCCAAACTCACTTCATAACGTCAGTCGAGTGTTTGAAATAAATCCTTCTGTGAGATGATGTGGCTTCTTACACAGAATAAGGCACGCAACATATTTCATAGTATTCTAAGCAGTGATAAAGGCTATGTCGATTAGCATTGCATTATTATATACTTTATTATAATAAAAATTATAACAAGATGAACTCAGATAAACCATATATTGTAGTAGTCGTGTGTTTATATTAGTCAAGTTGAATTAATGAAAGCAGTTAAATCTTCTGTTTATTCAGCAACCACTATAGGAACTTCCTGGGGTTCTTCTGCGAGGCGTATTTGGAGTTTCAGCACGAGAGCGCCCTCTGGCCTTTGGATGGAGATTTACTGCTGATCACAGAACCGTGCTTCACTGAAAGATACCCATGACAATCGCAGCTTCTGCCTAATCGCAATTTATGCTATTTATTTACTAATAAATAAGTACTAGTCGCGTTTGGTCTCGTACTGTATCGCGTACCTTGTCAGTGTCGTGCGCTTTGCTTGGCCATTTGTTGGGATAAACAGGAAAGTGTGTCCAGCTGAATTCAATTTGAGTTTTGTTAAACTAATTAAAAAGAAGCTTAGTTTACCGCGGAAGCGGTCGGCTTTGGATAAAAGCGTCTGCTAAATGACAAAGTAATAAGTAAAGTAAAGTAAGTAATACTAGTATCTAATGAATAAGTACTATTAACTTTACAAAAGACTCTAGTACCTAAAGAATACGCACTAGTAGTTAATGAATAAGTACTAGTATTTAATGGAAAAAATACTAGTATCTAAAAAATAAGTACTAGTGACATTAAATTAGATACTAGTGCGGTTTATAGATTAAATGTTAACACGGCTTGCCATAGTGTATTTAGTGTAGTGTTTGGGCCAAAGTTAGCTCCTCTAACCCACCAGCATGACTGATGACCAGATCTGAGTGTCTCATATCATCGGCGATTGAGTCTTTGAAACGAAACACTTGAAGTGTCAGTCCTGGACAGCTGTCTGGATCAGGAACAACTGAGCCTCTGCCAACCTGAAGCACCACGTCTGTGTAGCCACGCTCGTTTAATGCCTTCATTCAGAAACATGGAAACAGTCATTAAAGTGAGCCAGGATATATTTAAAACCTCACGGCTTATTGCTTATAAAACTAGCTCACAAATACCGACAAGTATTTGTGACATTCAGCTTACGTTTCCTTTGCAGTTCTCTATTTATGAATGGCATTCTTACCTTCACGGATTCATCTGAAGTCACAGCGCCAATCAGATCATCAAAACTCGTTGTCCCGACAGTTACGAATACAGTTTTCATTATATCTAAGTGACAAGTCTTTACTAAATGTAACAGAAAACAGACGTGAACAAAAATGAAAAAAGAAACAGTGGGAAAAAAAAGTAAGAGTCTCTTAACACTCCATACTTCAAAATAAAAGTCCTGATGGCTTAAAATGGACCTACTAGAGTCATGTGTATGATTTTAACAGAATATAGTGGTATATCAAAGTATTTACTATTAGCCTTGTCAAAGGTGGGATTTATCTCTAAAATGATATTTTTTTCTCTCACCCCCCCTTCTTCTTCCTTTTTTTGGAGTTTGGCTAAAAAAAATAAAAAAATAAATCTTTAAATCTACATGACCCATTCCTACACATATATTAAAGTAAACATTGCACTTTTTAAGAAAATATGAAAATCATATTCTATTATAAAAAAAAAAATCACAATTACTGTAGGTGAACATGGAGAGAATTGTGTTTACACTTTAAATATTTTTCATAGAAATATGTCCTTAAACTAAGTCATATAAAAGCTCAAACTGTACTGCATAACTCCAATGACCCACTTAATTAATGGAGCCTTTTATATTAAAAAACAATTCAGCACCCTTTAGGTTCACAGTCAGGTGCCCTTAAAATTATTTAAACAAATAACAATAAAATTATTATTAAACTGTATAATTACGTTAAAATAAATAAAAACATAGGATTTAAAGTAAATAAATTTAATTATTTCCCCCTTAATAGTTTTGAACATACAGTTCTTGACATTTCTGGAGTCACAAAATAAATTGTGTTGTGGGAGTCTTTGGGTCAAAAATAGCTTTAAAACTTTTTTTAGCAGTTAATTACAGCTTCAAATGTTCATAAATGTCCTTTGCACAGCTGAATTTGGACCCCTAAACGTCTTTTTCTTTTTCTTTTTATAACTTTATTCTCTAAATCAGTGGCAGACTGGACAGTAAACTCTGGCTGGGTGACCTATGGGCATTCAGAGACTCCAGAAGCCACACTCATGATCACAAGCCTTTGGACACAGAAGTGGCTCGTCAAGTCACTCAGCCACAGCTATCTGATCAAGTGCTGCAGATGGTCATCTTTCCAGCAGGTTTTCCCATCTCCACACAGAATGTTGCAGCTGTTATACTAGTCATTTTGTTCTTGCCCATCTCCTAGACCACAGGCGGGCAAAAGGATGAAGCTTGGTTGTTTAACATTGTTAAACGTTCTTAAAGGCTCTCTCTTTTTTTGTGTATTTAATGCTGACTTAAATACTTTTAATAATGCACAATCTTATTTCTTTGTCTTTCCATTACGAAAAAATCTCTGCAACAAAGTTCTGAACTTCAGTCAGATGTGCATGACAAAACATTATGTCTTTATGGCATTATCCCTATCCATGTCAAAATGTAACCTTATTAAAAGGAAATGGAATGTTTTAGTTGGAAAACACCCTCTTCATCTACTTAACTCTGCGAGCAAGCAAGCAGACTCTTTCTTCAAGCTCATCACAAGATCCTCACATTTCAGACATTGGGTTTCCCTCACAATAAGACAGATTGTTGGGAACTGATAATGGCTGATTTCCAGGCAATTTAAAGGTCATTATCAAAAGCCTATTGTGAGGTATTGCATGCATTGATTTCAAGTTCTTTATTTAGTTGTTTTGGTTTAAATGTCTCAAAAATGTTAATGATAACCAACTTTGGCATTTGTACATTTTATGTGCTTACAGTGTTAAAAGCCAAAAGTAACATCTGCAATACTGTGCTGTATGGACCGCTGACAATTTAAGTTTCTATTGAAGCAGTGGTTGGAAACGTGCCCAACACATATTGTAACTAGTTGGGCACAAATGATATGCAAGAGACATCTTAGAAATGAAATTAAAATACAAGAAAAGAAAGAACTGACTCAACAGGGGTTTCAGACTGTAATCAATTAAGGCATCATCAATGCTGTACTTCAGAAACAATGCATACTGTAGTCACAAAAAGCCAAAATAGCCAACAGAATATAAAAATGCAATATTTATCTATCTCGGTAATTAAAGACTTTAATAAATAGAGTATTAGGAGAGAAAGCATACATACCAGTAGTTTTAAAAAAATCAAAAGGGGGAAAAAAAGAAACATTAGATATTGAGGTCTCACACCTGCATAATGGCTGTTACAGCTTAACAATTAGATATCAAACTTAATATGTTAAAAGAAAAAACAGGGAACATATACAACTGAGCATCTCCAGGGGTATTATAGCCCTGAGTTGACCTGCTCGTCATAACCCTTTTCCCTATATAAGAAAAATAGCTATTAATAGCCCTATCACAGATATCCCCATTCCCAAAAGTTTTCTGTGCTCCAATTCGCAGACTGGACTTGTTTCCAGGTAACCAAAACATAACTTGAAGATACTGTATATGTGCTCTACAATCCAGACCCGGTGGATTTGAGTTTTGAAGACCCTGCGATGATTTATTTCCGGACAGCAAAGCCAAGCCTCGGCCAGATGTCTTAAGTGTCAGAGTTCAAGGGGCTCAGTGGCACAGGTGTGGCTCAGAGGGTCGTACGATCAGAGATTGGTTCAAGAGAGCGTCCATCTGGATCATGTGTCTAAGAAACACAGAAATGACAAATGTGCTGTAGTCACAAGAAAAAAAACAAAAACACGTATCCAAGTAAATAACTTTAATGTGCTTGGGCTTCAATCGTTTCCTGTTACGTTAGCTGTATAAAACACTTTGTTATTCTGCTTGATATTGCAAACTGGTATTTCTTATTATTTTAAATTCTTGTCATCATTCTTAAAGGGATAGTTCACCAAAAAAAAGAAAATTGACATCATTTATTCACTCTTCAGTTGTTTGAAACTTGTATGAGTTTATTTCTCCTGTTGAAAACAAAAGACAATATTTTAAAGAATGTTGGTAGCCAAACAGTTGCTGGTAGTCATTGACTTCCATTGTATGAAAAAAACAAACAAAATGGAAGTCAATGGCTACCAGCAACTGTTTGGCTACCAACATTCTTCGAAATATCGTCTTCAAAATATCCCTTTAACACACTTGTTTGTAGCACAAATATTTTTTACCATTTACTGCATTTTATTATTCTATATTTATTTATCCATAGTGGCTGAAAACGAAGGTGGATAAAATGATATCTATAGCATTATATGATACTATGCATGTTCTTTGGAATTTAACTTCCAAATAAATGAATCTATTTGATGTAAGATAATCTGTTTGATTTAGATCATCTTACATCAGCAAAATGTTTGAATAAGACTATAAAAAAATTGTTTACATAAAGACACCATTAAAATGGCTCATCTGGGTCATCCTAAAATTCTCCAGAAGACCATTTCCTGTTTTGTGACATCACTTTCCATTCAGGATGTTCGGTTTTCCTCTTTATTCACAAAGATTGTCCCTGTTCTCATGCGCCAGACTGCTAGTCCAGACAGCGCAGTCTTTTCATGCTTCATCTCATTGGTACTGGGATTAAGCAGTTTTATTCTTCACGCCACATTCTTGGTGCGATCCAATGATAACAGAGCTCAATTATATATATATAT